TTTTTCTTTTATTTTTCAAATCCCTTACTAAATTTCTCAACCAAATACAACATAAATGGTTATGCTGTGTGAATCAAATGACGATTAAACATAAGAGTTTTTATCATGAGACAATTTTTAAGTGACTTATATTTGACGTGCACAAATCACTCTAATTTAATTTAACTTAATTGTTATGTAGATAATTGCAGAGTTTATATTATTATGATGCTCGAAAGAGTTTTTTTCAACAGCTTTTTTTTCCCTTCTAACCAGAGTTTATATTATTTATTTTAACATTTTTTTTGGTCTAATCATCATTAAACAGTTGATCCAAACACTACAAATGATGAGAATTCGGATCCATTATGCTTTGTGTTAGATGATAGAGTTGGCCTGGGCTTTTCCCAAATTAAGACAAAATAACAATTTATTTTTCAAATTAGGTCTAGTTTAGACGGAATTCTCAAACTAAGGTAAAATGTTATTACAAATCACTCTAAGAAGCGTGATTGCAAATGACGGGGCTGGAGAGGGTATATATCAGTTGTAAAAACGTGGTTACAAACCACGCGTTTAAGGAAATTTGATTTATACATAAAGCGTTGTTAGGAATCACGCTTTTAAGTAAAATTTGTTTTTTTCAAAAAACGTGATTGCGAACCACGCTTTTACTGTTGCTATTAGCGTTGTTAGGCCACAATGTAAAAACGTGTTTTCAAAACACGTTTTTAATAAAAAAAAAAATCAAAACCAGCACTCACACTCTTCTTTCTCACACTCACACACTCACATCAAACATATTTAATTTTTGATATATATAAATTTTATTTTATAAAATTGAGACCAATATTAAATATATATATATATATATATAATAATTTATAATAGCAAATAATAATCGACTAATAATTTTTATAAATATAAATAATTTTTATCTTTCGAATGGTTAGAAATAATTTTTTACAAATTAAATTAAAACAACTGTACGTGTGTATATAACTTGTCCAAAAGTTTAAATGATAATTACTTTTTACCCTTAAATGATAATTATTTTTTATTTTTTATTTCTTAACCAAATTAATTTTTAATTTTTTAAAAAAAATTTCTAAAAATCAAACCATACATAGCATAAAAATCTTTTGATAAGTCATTTCTTATGTTGGTAACTTATTTAATTATTTGTTAATTTTATGACATTTTTACCATCTGAGGCATGTTTCGTAACCATTTCGTTTTCAGTTTTTAATTTATATTTACAAAAAATTTAAAAACTATCATAAAAATTTGTTTGATAATTTTTTTGGTTTATAAATGATTGTCTCAATTTGTAAATTTGAAGAAAAAACGTAAATTCAAAAAATAAGTTTACGTTAGTTTTTAAACAAAAATTTAAAAATTTTACTAACAAAATTTTTTTTCATTTTATTTTTTTTTCAAATAACTTTTTTTTTCAATTAATTTTTTTTTCCAATTAAATTTTTTTTTTCAATGAATTTTTTTTTCCAGCTAATACTAACCGAGGGGTAATTGGTAATGCTACTTTAAACTAGGGAGTGGATTGTAATTTCTAAAATGTGAGGGGTGCTAATGTAATTTACCCAATGAGGGCAAAATTGATATTTAAAAAAATTAAATTTCTGGAGAAAATCTGTAATGAAACTTTAAACCTCAGGAGAGAGATGTAATTTTCAAAAGGTGAGGGGGAAACTGTAATAAACATAAACCTCAGAGGGTGTTAGTGTAATTTACCTAAATAAAAAAAATAAATTTTAAGAATTAAAGTAAAAAAATAATCATTCTATATAATTGATTATTATTTGCCATTATAAATTATTATTATTATATATATATTTAATATTGGTCTCAATTTTATAAAATAAAATTTGCATATATTAAAAATTATATATGTTTGATGTGAGTGTTGTGGGTGTGTGTCTGAGTGAGAGAGAGAGAGAGAGAGAGAAAGAGAAGAGTGTGAGTGCTGGTTTTGATTTTTTTTTTTATTGAAAACATGTTTTGAAAACACGTTTTTGCATTGTGGCCTAACAATGCTAATAGCAACAATAAAAACGTGGTTCGCAACCACGTTTTCTGGAAAAAAAACAAATTTTACTTAAAAGCGTGATTCCTAACAACACTTTATGCATAAATCAAATTTCCTTAAACGCGTGGTTTGTTGTAACTACGCTTTTACGATTTTACAAATTTTTTGCGAGAGGGCCACAAAAACGGTGAAAGCATGGTTTATAATAGCGTTTTAACTTAGTTTGGAAATTCCATCCAAACTAGGCCTAGTTTGGAAAATAAATTGCTATTTTGCCTTAATTTGGGAAAAGCCGCAGAGTTGGGACTTTTCCCAAATTAAGCTAAATTAGTAACTTAATTCCCAAACTAGGCCTAGTTTGGACGGAATTTCCAAACTAAGCTAAAGCGCTATTACAAATCATACTTTCACTGTTCTTAGGACCCTCTCGCGAAAAATTAGTGAAATAGTAAAAGCGTGGTTACAAACTACATTTTTGAAGAATTTTTTTTTTTCTTCATAAAACGTGGTTTCAAACCACAATTTATAATTTTTTTGAGAAAACGTGATTTGGAATCACGCTTTAAATGCAGCACTCACTCTTCTCTTCTTATGCTCTTTTCTCTCTCTCTCTCTCTCTCTCACACACAAACACTCATTACACACGCACACCAAACCAATATAATATTTAATATATGTAAATTTTATTTTATAGAATTAAGACCAATATTATATATATATATATATAATAATTTATAATAGCAAATAATAATCAACTATATGAAATTAAGACCAATATTTTCAAATAATTTTTTTTTCAATTATTTTTTTTTCTATTAATTTTTTTTTCAATTAATCTTTTATTTCACTTAAATTTTTTTCAAATATTTTTTTTCCCAATTAAAATTTTTTTCAATTAATTTTTTTGAAAATTCTAAAAATCTAACCATACATAGCCTAAAAATCTTTTGATAAGTCATTTCTTACGTTGGTAACTTATTTAATTATTTGTTAATTTTAAGACATTTTTACCAAATTTAAAAAACTATCATAAAAACTTGTTTGATAATTTTTTGTAAATTTGAGGAAAAAACATAAATTACTATAAATAATGCAGAGGACTACAGAGAATGAGAGAGAGATAGAGATGTGAAAGAGATTTTGAAAATCATCAAAATAAGTAAAAACAAAAAATTGTGAAATTATACTTTCAAATAAATAAGTATCACATTTACATCATCTGTACAAGCTTGATTTATAAAAACTATAACAATTACTATAAATAAAAAAAACTATACACTCCATATCACACCCGCTAATGCCCTAACCTGCCCCCAGTCCCACAACCCCGACCATGGACCTCCCTCCTCGGTCTCCTACGGTAGACTCTCTGAATATCTGGCTTTCCCAATCGTAAATGCGTATCCAGTGGCACTCCCTCCCCTGCATGTGGCCCTCCACTGACTACCTATGGAGCTTGTGAGTGTGACCCCCCCTCTCCTGCATGTGCTGCCCTTGATCCTGTCTCTGGATAAAGATCGGATACTGCTGTGAGCTGTGAAACTCCCTTATCTGGTGCAACTATATCATGATCTGCAGCTGGACCTTGACCTCGACCTCTGCCTCTGCCCGCACCCTGACCTCGGTCGCGACGTCTGTCACGACCATAACCTCGGCCTCTCCCTCGCACTCTGGGCTGGGCTCAATATGGGCCTCATCCTCAACGTGGGAGATGTCAGTGAGAACTCGCGGTCGAACTAGTCCCCAAAAAAGCAAGTGGTAACTAGGTGGATGGGATTTCATATAGTTGATTATTATTTGCTATTATAAATTATTATTATATATATTTAATATTGATCTTAATTTTATAAAATAAAATTTATATATATTAAATATGATATTGGTTTGGTGTGTATGGGGTTTGGTGTGTGTGTGTGTGTGTGATGAGTGTTTGTGTTTGTGTTTGTGTGTGTGTGAGAGAGAGAGAGAGAGAAAAGAGCATAAGAAAAGAAGATTGAGTGCTGCATTGAAAGCGTGATTCCAAATCACGTTTTCTCAAAAAATTTACAAATCGTGATTTGGAACCATGTTTTATGAAGAAAAAAAAAATTCTTTTAAAACGTGATTTGTAACCACGCTTTCTTAATTAAAAGTATTTTTTGCAGGAAGATCCTAGGAATAGTGAAAGCGTGATTTGTAATAGCACTTTAACCTAATTTAAAAATTCTGTCCAAACTAGACCTAATTTGAAAATTAAATTACTAATTTAGCTTAATTTGAGAAACCCACCACGCGCGCGCAGAGTTAGCCTTTTGAAGTTCTCAAAAAAAAAAAAAAAAAAAATCAGATTGATGGACTTTAATTTTTTCCGACTATATGATGTAAGCAAAACCATAGTGTTGTGATTATTATACTCAAAAACATATATATACAAACATGTAAGTGACAAAAAAATATATATGATGCTTCAATATATGTACATATATATGTTACATATACGTATTTAAGCAATATGCAATTTGAACCCGAACCAACAATAACTCACCCAACAGTGGCCCTTTAGGGTTGATTTCCCTTGCTTTTCATTTATGTTCAAAATACAAAAATACCTCTTATATACATAACAAAGAGTCATTAAGATTAATTAGGGTTTACTTCATTTTCTCCCTTTTCCTTCCTTCCCACTAGAGCGGATCCTAAGTGTACAAACTACCGAATTTTCTTAATTTTCTTGTACATTTCATAAAATTAAATTCCTAAACCTAAACTTGGATCCTAAATGTCGAAGAGCTGAACAAACTATCACACTTGTTTTTTTTTTTTAATAATACTGTTTTCCTTTTTCTCCAGAAAAGAAAAAAAAAAAGAAAAAAGAAAAAAAACTGCCACACTTAATTTTCTTAATTTTCGTATACATTTCATGAAAAACTTTGACTAGTGATATTATGTTTAACTTCATACTTCTCGAGGTTCAAGCCAGCCATTGATGAAACAATGATGCAAAGAGGGTTATATATAACTTAAAATCTTATATTTGTCATTACAAAAACAAAAACAAAAACAATAACAAAAACAAAACATACTCACACAACCACCAATGAACTCAGAGGATAAGCCAGGAGAGAACAAAAAAATAATAAAAAAAAATTTCAGGCAGCAGCCTTCATCTTTTACTACAAAAAGCAAAATACAGATGAATACATATATTCAAGAAAGACAGCACTAGATCGAGGACGTGATGGAGGATCAGGCTTAGGCTGGAGGCATTCACGAGGAAAATGTTTATAGAAGGCATTTACTGCACCTGTCGCCCCATCCTCATTTTCCATGGCCTTTGCCAATTCGATAGCATGTTGTTTCACCTGCACACACAACATAAGCTACCTTTATCAACTTTTCCGTTAACAAATATGCTATGAGCAACCAAAACTATGACACTTGAAATCCTGACCACCATACAACATGAAAATGTGTAACAAACCTGCACTTGCTCATCAATCCCACAAGCTTGATGTTAAATTCAAAAATTTCAAAAGAAAGTCTCTCTGTCTCCTAAACGTTTGTCACCCCCTCACAATACAAAAGGGTTTTCGAGTAATTAAGTGATATTCCTCGTTTCGTGACATCCAAAAACACTAACATAATTGTAAATTAGTTTCACTTTATTTTTTTACGTCTTGATGATGGAGGATCAGGCTTAGGCTCAAGGCATTCACGAGGAAAATGTTTATAGAAGGCATTTACTGCACCTGTCGCCCCATCCTCATTTTCCATGGCCTTTGCCAATTCGATAGCACGTTGTTTCACCTGCACACACAACATAAGCTACCTTTATCAACTTTTCCGTTAACATATATGCTATGAGCAACCAAAACTATGACACTTGAAATCCTGACCACCATACAACATGAAAATGTGTAACAAACCTGCACTTGCTCATCAACCCCACAAGCTTGATGTTAAATTCAAAAATTTCAAAAGAAAGTCTCTCTGTCTCCTAAACGTTTGTCACCCCCTCACAATACAAAAGGGTTTTCGAGTAATTAAGTGATATTCCTCGTTTCGTGACATCCAAAAACACTAACATAATTGTAAATTAGTTTCACTTTATTTTTTTACGTCTTGAGAATAATATTGCAGAATTGGAATTTTCTAATTATCAACTTCAATTTCTCCAGGGCCAAGTAGTTAGTTTCGTATTTATGGATAGCTAGCTACACAACTTCAGTGTTCACCAAGGGCACAAGCTGCATACCATTAACATACAACAATAATAACAGCCAGAACAATGCTAGTGAGAATGATTACAATAAAAAAAAATGTGATGATTTGAAAGGAACAAATGATTACCATAGGATCCAGCATGAAATGTATTGCATTAACTAACTTTTCAAGTGAGAACTCCTCAATAGGGATGGGTGGAGGACCTATTCCCCTGGCATGAACCCGCTCTCCCCAAAATGGTTGGTCCCCAAAGAAAGGAACAACAGTTGTTGGGCACTGAATTCAAATGAAAAGATGCGCACACAAGATGAGCAAGGGAAATAATCAAAAGACAATAACAGTTCGTTTAGATAGATGTGGATTTCAAATCAAGGGATGAGGTTAAAAATATTGAAGAGTTAGCTATTATTAGTGAACAGAAAAATTATAGAAGAAAAATTATAGAAGATAAAACTATTTAATTCAATCTTGAAATTCATAATTAAACCATCAAATCTAAATTTGAATTCTTATCCTCGAATGATTAATGTCAAATCCATACATTTAAAATCCACATCCATCCAAACACCCTAAGTCCCGCAGAAGGAACAGTTAGCTACCGCAGCTTTAAGACCAGCAGCAGTTGTTCCTGCCCCCCCATGATGCACCTGGAAAAAGCTCAACAGAATGTCATGCTGCATTTGATAGTGGGAGCAAAGGCCACAAAATTTGAGAAAATAAAAAAAAAAATAAAAAAAAGAGTAATTGAAGTACTGAACCACAGTAATGAATGAAATTTGTTCTACAATATCCCTTTCTATCAAGTACTAATGTAAACGCTTCTCTTTACAGCTTACAATGATGAGATTTTAATTCCTATTTCAATAAGATCTTTTTTTTTTTTTTTGTCACAAGTTAATCAGCATGTGTCTTTCACATATATAGGTTCTCACAGTAAAAACTGAGCAAGTCAAAAGCAAACAGCATCAACAATGTAAACCAATGCAAATAAGTGAATCCAATATATATAGTTTCCTCAACAATTTGTTAATAACACTAGTTTAGATTTGTGTATTAAATAATTTACTTAAAATTCAATCGAATGAATTAATGTATCACAACGATAAGCATTAGGGAAATGATCAACAACTTGGTGAACAACAATGAAACTGCCAAACATGCTCAGATATTCAAGTTTGATCATGAACAAAACATTATGTTGGACTGGACTTCATCAGAAAGGAGCTAAACTTCACCCCCAAAAAAATAGAGGAAAAAGGAAAAGATATATATTACTGTGATGCTGAGCATGAAAAAAAAAAAGGAAAAAGGAAAAGATATATACTGCTGTGATACCGAGCATGGGCTTCACCACATGCCATTTCATTCCCTTGGATACAATAAATTCTCTCTACATTAGTACTTAATATCTTTGCTTGATTGCTTATATCAATTCATGGAAATTTATTTAATTTTGAGAATAGATTATCAGTCAACATAGTTTAGTAAGACTTCTAATTTTTTTTTTTAATTCCATGTTCGATCACAAATTAGAATGCCACATTGCAACTACCATCACTACAACTTCAAAATTTATCACCATCTATGTTATATGGACTCAGGTGCGGGTGTCAAGTACGGGTATGTCTATGTGTCCATAAGTGTCCAATTCATCTAATTTCCATGTCCAAGGACAAGGCAATTCTTTTATTTTCAAGGATAAAAGGATGATCACAAGGTGTCATGGATTATTTCATATATAATAATGAGTTTTTATACATTGTTTTATGGTAAACTTGAATTAATAAATTTTCTCGCTAGGTGAATGTCCTTCTAAACATGTTGGACACATATCTCTTACCTTTACCCAAGTGTAGATTGCCTGACACAGGAACCTCATACATTTAGAACAGTCCATGCAACATTGATCACCATACTACTAAGATGCATTACACATCTCATCTCCTAATGCAGATTAAATGCTTCAAAAAAATTCCTGGTTAACTCTAAATAAATAATCCATTTATAACTACCCCAAATTATGTAATAGTAATTAACATTGACAACATAAAACAAGGGGAAGGAGTCTCAAATTATCAAGTTTGGCTCATCTAAACAAAATACCTCTGATATCAATGAAGCAAGGTGAAAAGTCTCTCAAATCCAACTCGTCTAAACATAATGCCTTCCAAGTATTTTAAAATTATCAATGAAAAATTTCAATTTCAACAATAGAAAATTTAATTACATAATTAGATTCTCTTTTCACCGACAAAGCAACAAAAAATAATCATCCCTCACAAATGACGGTGGATACTCTTTTTAATATGGTTTTAGTGAGTAGGACCCTAACACGTAGGTGGGAGCTTTCATGTATGCAGGCATGAAAAACTTATGATGACTCCTAGAAAGGAGCCAGACCCCAAGATGTCTCACCCAAAAAAGTGATGTCTGGTATGTCCAAGTCCATAAGTAGTGACTGACCTGTAGAACACAGAGATAATCCTCTAACTAAAGAGTTCAAGAGATTTTGTGGGTTTACAGGGGCAATGGAGATAACTTATGGCCTGTCGGTCCAGGTGTTAGAAGTGGACTAGGTACAGAGCTAACCTCCTTTTTTCTCAGACAAAATGGTTGCCTCAAATACATCTTTGCAAACTTGACAGCAAGCTTTTACTGCTTTACCAAGCAATCGTCCCTAAAAGGACTGAGTTTATGATATAAAATGAAATCTATATGTGAATATCAATCAAAAAATTGCGTCCAAATGCACAACAGAAATATGAAATTAAACACCAACGTTCTTTTAGCCCGAGAAATCACTATGCAATATTTGGTCTTCGCATAACGCACTTCAAGTTTTGTAGTAGTGTAAGTATACTTGCTGTTAAGAAGCACGGACACGGACACGGACACGGACACAGACATAGACATAGACGCGAACACGTGACATGGTGATTTAAAAAAATGGGGACACAGACACCGGGGAGACGACAACACAATATTTTTTCATATATTTTTATTTGTTATGTAGATTAATATTTACATCCACAAACAATCAAAATTAACAAAAAATAACACTAATTCTATATAAAAAACTTTTAAATTAACACATATTGTTTATATATTTTCATGAATGATAAGTATTTAAATTTAAGAAAAAGTAATAAATTTTCAACTTCCAACATTCATCAAAATGATGGAAAAGACAAGTTGGCATGCTCCCAAAGTGTCCCCCACGTGTCCCCCACATGTCCCTTGAAAATAAATTAATTAAATAAGAGGGACACGCAACCCAGCGTGTCCCATACATGTCCCTGCTGTTTCAGCATGTTCTCGTCATGTCCACATGTCCAAGACGGCTACAGGACTTGTTTTGAATCGTCAGTGCTTTATAGCTCGCTGTGAATCTGATTTGTCAGTCTTCCCATAGCAAAAAGCCAGAATGTAACAAGTTGCAGGAAGAAAAGTAGCAAACAAAGGACCAATTTTTGCTATTCTCTAAGGCTTACAAATCATCAAAGGCACACATGAAACATATAGGAGAATTGTTGCACCAAAGAAGACCTGTGAGCAAAGTTCATAAAAGCAAATGCGTAACACGAGGCATTTTACCCCTCATGAGGCGAGGCGTAATCCTTAGGGCTTCAAGGCAAAAGCATTTCAAATTTTAAATTTTAATATTTAATGAATAAATTAAATATTTTAAAATGGTAAAATAAACAAATAACTAAATATAAAGTTGTAGATACTTTTCTCTGTAAGGCATTAAACTTTTCACTGCAAAAAATGAAGTTTGGCTTCACTGAAAGTGAAATTGATATCCTTAGTTTTAGTGATTGAGCTTCTCACTTAAGAATTAATTATGTTTTTTCTTTATTGGTCATTTACTTAATTTTTTCTTTAGAATATAGTCGCAATATGGTTTATATATATATATATATATAAACAATCTGCTACACTAAGTTTAACAAAAGCCCAAGGCAACCTCTTCGCATGCGTATTTCTCATATGCTTATGTGTAGAAGGCATACAAGGTGCACCTAAGGTGCATGTTTCAAACTATTATGTATAAACTTTTGGGGAGTAAAGCCTAAAAATCAAAGCATTGATGCGTTTTACCTTAGCCTCAAGGTGAGGCAAGCATCGAACCGAGTCCCTAGCATCGTTTTACCTTAGCCTCAAGGTAAGGCGAGCATCGAGCCGAGTCCCTAGCGTGTCCCCGAAGTGTCCCCAGTGTCCCTTGAAAATAGATTAATTAAATGAGCGGGACATGCAACCCAGCGTGTCCCATACGTGTCCCTGCTGTGTCAATGTGTTCTTGTCTTGTTCACGTGTCCGACACGGCTACGACACTTATTTTGAATTGTCAGTGCTTCATAGCTCGCTGTGAATCTGATTTGTCAGTCTTCCCATAGCAAAAAAGCCAAAATGTAACAGGTTGTGGGAAGAAAGGTAGCAAACAAAGGACCAATTTTTGCTATGCTCTAAGGCTTATAAATCATCAAAGGTACACATGAAACATCCTCTTTGTTAATGCCTTAGGTGATAGGAGAATAGTTGCACCAAAGAAGACCTCTGAGCCATATCAAAGCACTCATAATTCCAGCATGGAAAAAGAAAAACCATGCACTGGAAGCATGATTTTTCTGTATTCATTTTCTGAACTGTCTGTTTATTACCCAAAGTTGACAAACAGAGTAGTAACTTAAAGACTGGGTGGCGGAGGCTAGCAGCTGTGCTGATGATGGCAATAAGTCAAAAGCATTCATGTCCTCCCCTCATCAGAACAACCAGAGTATTGTTTTCTAAAATAATCAACCCTTTTCAGAAAAAGGAAAAAAAAAAAAAAAAGTGTACCATCACCTTAATATAACTGTTGATTGTCTATGCTGTATTCATGTAATCTAGGCAACCACATGAAATCAGGAAGACACTAATATTGTATCATTTTAACTTTAACATAAATCAATGAGAAAACTACTGAAGTCTTACCACAGCAGCACATCGTAAGAATAACCAGTCATGAGGGCAATTGTCCAATAAGTACACAAAGTCCTTTGGTTCTGCCACTGATAAAAGAAAATTAAATACATACCATCCATTCCTGTAACTTGAACAGCTACAGATGCAAAATTCTAGGAAGCAGATAACTTGGTGACATAAAACTCCATAGTAAACGAACGCAAGGAACCCAGACTTACAGTTCCCTAGGCCACCCCAGCCTTTGTTAATGATGCCTCTTTGACCAGTCAATTGAAGTGCTTTAACAATTATGTTGGTCATTTCCTCTGGTTCTTGAACAGGCTGTAACAAGTTCATAAAATAGACATAAATACAGATAACAAAAATATATATATCTACTACTGCTGTTGATAATCCTTGCTCACCGACCAGTTTCAATAGGTGGTGATGATTCCAATCTTCCCATTGCTCTTAGAAAAGAGGTTAAGACTAGTATTCAACACCCTGTATCTAAATTTGTTCCCTATGATTCATTGTCTCTTTCATATTATGCCTTTGTTTTGTCCTTGTCCTATGTGTGTACACTGTAGGGTTAGAAGGGAGCTAATGATCAATGGAAAGAGGCTATGGTAGAAGAAGTAAAAGCTTTGAGCAAGAATGATACGTGGAAGTTGGTTTTGTTGGGGAATTGGGGAGCTCACGAATGCGCGACAATACAAGGCCAATCTGTCCGGGAGAAACTCCAGAGTCTACACTCGCAACCCTAGGGCCCAACATACATTGTTTGGAACTCATACTCACTTTGTAAGTAGTGAGCCCATCCAATGAATATTAAGACCCACCGCTTTTTACTCTTTATCTTATGTGAGACTCAACTTTCGCACATACTCCAACAATCTCCCTTTGATCTTTAAAAAATTCATTGAATACAAAAAAATACAAAAAATTCAATATATTTTCGTATTTTGTTGTATACACTGATTTTTTAATTTTTTTAATACTTTTTAAATGTATTTATATTAAGTGGATAGTTTTAAAAAAAAATGATTAAAATGTTAAAAAAATTCTCTAAAAATAAAAAATACTGATTAAAAATTCAGAAAAACTATTTTTGAAAATTCCAAACCAAACATAATGTCAAAATCCGGAACCTCAGGAGAGGTCCCTCCAATTTTCTTAAAATAGTAATTATAGGAAGAATGAGCTCTGGATGGAACTCACAAGGCTACCGAATCCAATGTAGATAGGCGCTCTACCATTTTCCAGCCATTGCACAAGTGAATCTGGAGGTACATAATTTGAGGCAAGGTCCAAGAAACAAAACCCAACCACATCAATCTTAGGTCCCCAATCTGCAGGCCGAGAAAAAAAACTATACATTAAAATGCAATTCTTACAGCAAAGTTTAGTAGTTTCTTTTCCTAGTTTTAGTTAGTGTAGGATATCTCCAAGTTCTATATAAATAAGTCTAATGCTTCTAATTCAATATTGATGAAGAGTATAAGAAGCTCGAGGAAGGCTAAATTCAAAGAAGTGATGATATTTGGACATTGGCATGATTTCAAAGAGAAATAAATAGGAATCTTATAAAATTATGTTTCTTATGTTATTAGAATATTATTTTATGATTATTTTTATGTTTTCTGGGTTAGGAGTATTTTGGTAATTTGCAAAATTTCTGAATATGAATTGTATTGATTGTCCATGGGTCATCTTGTGGGTCAAGTTATTTAATTAGTCTTTGTTTTGTTTCTTATTTGGTTTTAGATTAGTTTTGGAAGTCAAAGATATTGTAGTAGTTTCTTTTTTCGGTTATATAGTTGGTTTAAAAAATCTCCTAGTTTTATATAAAGCCGTGTAATACTTATAATTTGATAGAGTTAATATTTTAGAGAATTTCAAGAGCTTTTGAAACTTCTTTATGGATTGTGTGATGCAATCAAACCCTAGGTGTGATACCTAAGTAATTCTAGGAGTGATTCTTAGACCTATCTTCTTTCTGTTTCTTTGTTTCAATTTACTATTCTCGGATTACGATTCACAGTACTCTAAAAGTACACTTTTCAACCTCAAAACCCTATCCAATCACCCCCAAACCAACCCTTCCCCTACCTATTAGCCTTCAATTTAACCCTTAAAACTCTAAATTACTCACTGTTTCGGCTGTCAAATAACCTCTGCTTGCAAAATCCAGCTCTGTCCTACATCAGATATATTCTGAAGAATTTTGTGAAGCTTTTGAAGCTCTTCTATGGATTGTGTGATGCAACCCTAACCTTACGTGTAAATGCCTATGGGATTCTAGGAGTAATTCCTAGTTTCTTCTTCTTCCTCTTCTTTTCTTTTGAATTTTGTTCACTTAATCTTCAATCAGCTGATCCATTCAAGCTTTTTTTTTGTTTGTAATAGACCCTATTCAGCAAGGTCAGTCCTCTCCCTCTAGATAATTTAAAGCCTAGCCCCTTTGAAACCCTGAAATATCAATATACTGTCCGCAAGTTACTGCTCAATGCTCCTGAACAGCCTTAATTTTTCCATCAAAATCTTTTTCTCTTCAGTCCAAACCTTCAGTAACCAACCCCTAACACAACCCTAGGCCATGTTTCTCACTAAATCAAACCATAACAGCAAAATTAACTCAAATTACATTTATAGGTGCTGCATCATGGAGCTGATTACAAAGTTATGTTTCAACATCTTATATGTGGTCAATATTACTTTCCTGCCAATGTTTCTTATTTCCTTATTTGGTTTCTCATTTTTAGTAGGAGAATCTCAAAAACTTGTACGTATGAATGTATATGAGAACTTGAAAGTGTGTTTGTGTCATTTTGCTCAACCCTTGTGAGGGTGAGCCCTTTTTTCTACTTTGAGGGTTTAAAAAAAGAAAAAAGAAAAAAGAAAAAAAGTGAACTTAATAATTCCCCTGTTACTATTCAACACCCTCAAAGAGACTATTTCAGCCCAAAAATCCCAGTTTATCAAATATTCAATGGTCCTAAATCCTTCCCTTACCTTTTGACTTTCAAATCCATCTCAAAAATCAATTATAAATGCTCTCCAAAATTTCCAACAACTTGCCACTTTAAAAATCCAATCTAATTTCAGCCCCACGTCATCTACTAACCTCAAAACCTTTCCACTACCTATTATAGGACTCTATCTACACACTTTCCTTTTCCCAACCCAACCATAAAGCTAATCATAAGCAGCTTTTTGTTTAGTTCTTTTTACCAATGAAGCTTGATCTATCAATATGTAACATGTTCTCACATAACAACATTAATAAATGTAGAATGAAACATTTTGCATTCAGAACTGGTTGAATATGAGGTTACAAACTAAAAAAGGTAGTAGTAGTGGTAGTAACACCAGTAGTAGTAGAAGAAGAAGAAGAAGAAGCAACAAACATGGAAGATATATTTAATTAAAATAAAAAAAAAAAAGAAGAAAATAAAGAAAAATGAAAAAGAAAAAGAACAAGAATAATATGAGCTAAAAGAAAAAAATAGCAACTATTGCTATACCAAAGTATCTCTAGCATCAAATGTAACAAAAACAACTCCAGAAATTTGCCACCGGACAGAAACTAATAAATAACTCCAAATACATGTGCAGACTTGACACTACATTACTCCTTCAATAAACAGCAATATAATGGATAACACGGAAATGACCTTTCGGTTTGGGAACAAGATGAGGACTCCAAAGATAACCATAAGGCAAATCTGGAGAACTATAAGAACCACTTAAATATGTCACAGGTCTCAGCTTCAATTTTTTCTTCCTAAACTCATTTATAATGTCCCATATTCCAAGCCAAATTAGTGCATCAACAATTTGATATGATAGCTGCAAAAAACATTAATCTTCATTTAGAAATGGAAACAAATAATAGAAGCATTCTTTTGAAATTAATTGAGACCCAATAGATTATTAAGACAAATGCAAAAACAAAAAAAAAATGTAGAAGAACAGGCTTACTCTATATCCAACTTCTTGTTTGACACGAGAAAAAGGATGTGGAAACTCGCTGGTAGGCCTGGAAAAAAAAATGTTCAATAAACACGCCTACTTAACTCAGTAGTGCACAGAATGTACGCCTAAAATTATATAGAGATTAATTTACGACGCTGGAATAAGTAGGAAACTTAAAACAACAGTACAGATTTGTCAAATTAACATTTTAAGCATTTAACCAGCTCCCCCTCCCCACCCAAAAAAAAGAAAAGTAAAAAGCTTACGTCCATGGCATTGTGAAAAATACATGGAGTGGTACTTTTAGTGCCTCTGCAACATGCGTATGTCCTGAAGAAGTATTTTTTCACATGAGGAATCAGTTGAAATAAATTTTATCAACACTTCAGATTATGAAAATCGACAGATTATTCAGCACAAGAAAAACAAAAAACAAAAACTACAACAAGAAATAACAAAGAATACAGATTAAAGAAATGTCCACTTTAAATGGAACTCTAGTATCCGGATCAGGATATGTGCATGCGGGAAGTAAGGAGAATATGATTTCCTTTATTTGATTTCGCTGAATGGGTATTTCTGAAGGTCCAGATGGCAAGAACCCTTTATTTTTTACCATGTCTGCACAAAGAATACAGATTAAAGAAATGTCCACTTTTGATTCATCCAGTGTCCTCTACAACGTTATGACACCACCATACAGTGTCCTCTGCAACGTTATGACACCCCCATACAGTGTCTTCACCACTGGTCTGACACGACCATACAGTGTCTCCTATCCTTTTTTTTTTATGTATTTTCTTGTTTTGTTCCTCTCTTCAAACTCAAGTTGGTTAGTTTCTATCCTCCTTGAGTTTGCGGGGGGCTGTTAGAATTTACCATCACCTACCACCACTACCACCTCACCTACTCCACTAAACCTAACCCACTACACCACTACCACCTCACCTACTCCACTAAACCTAACCCACTACACCACTACCACCTCACCTACTCCACTAAACCTAACCCACTACACCACTACCACCTCACCTACTCCACTAAACCTAACCCACTACACCACTACCACCTCACCTACTCCACTAAACCTAACCCACTACACCACTATCACCATCCACTACACACCATCCACTACACCTACATCTATATAAGGAACCATTTGTAATAGATAGAAAAAAATACAATATCAATAAACATCAATCAATAATACATAAATTTTTACATGCTATATAAGCTCCCTTCCACTTTCTTATTATTTCCAAAAACTATAAAACATAAAAGAATCAATAATATGATATTCAAACTCAAACTAAAACCTTAAAAAAAAAATCCCTTTTTTTTTTGTTGGTAATCTTAAATATTTTTCATATCAGACACCCTGCCCATTTGTCCTGTATTGTTACATCCTGCTCGTATGTTAATATAGTTTAAGTAGACACATAAACAACAAAAAGGTTCAAGTTGACATTATAGTGACATGACAGTAACACAAAAATGAAACAAGTAATTAGAGGTTACCATATGCAGGGGGATTGGCAATTATTGCATCCACTTTAAATGGAACTCTAGTATCCGGATCAGGATATGTGCATGCAGGAAGTACGGAGAATATGATTTCCTTTATTTGATTTCGCTGAATGGGTATTTCTGAAGGTCCAGATGGCAAAAACCCTTTATTTTTTACCATGTCTGCACAAAGAATACAGATTAAAGAAATAAATGACTGAAGGGGCACTTGGAGATGCAGTACCAGATGATTTCATGTCTAGTTATCTGTTGTTACATCTTCCTTTCAACTTTTACTCAAAATGCAATCTACATCAACTTTTACCTTCTTAAAAAAGCTTCCACTTTTTAATTGGTCATTAGTTACTCAAGGAGATGGAAGTAGTCCTGCCGGAGATACCCACCCTCTAATACCTCTAGACAAGGTTTTCTATTCAATTATGTTTCACTTATCGACAAGTATAATGGAGAAGATTCATTCATTTCAAAAAGCCCATAAATTTAAGCAGTGCATTGCAAGCAAAATATAAGAACTATAAATTCCATACAAAAAACTGAAACTAAAAACTCCATATCTAATAAATCAAGTTCTGAACTGGTTAACTTTAGAAGCCAATCTCTCAGGACAAGGAGATCAAGAATGCAACCTTGATCACGTGGAAACAGTTCAAAGGGCATGAACAAGCAAAAAGAAAAACAACAAAAATTTAAGACAAAAGGCTTAGTTTGGTTTAGTTTGATAATAAAAATTTTAAATATATATATTGCTTATATCATGGGCATGCCAATAAAAGAATAACAAAATAAAAAATAATATGAAAAACTTTCTTGAAGCAAAAGATTATAAGCACAGGTATCAGGCTTGGACTTAACATTCCGCAGCAATTAATTCAATAGCAGATGTAGACCAATCACTGGTCTTCAAATTGTACAATGTGATTGCAGTGTATACATAGAGGAGTAGGTTCATGGTAAAAACTTTCTACACCATAACCTCCCGTAAGTAATTTTGACATAACTATATTCTTGCCACAGCTGGTTACAATTTACTTATTATTGTACTTTCTCTATTGTCGATTTTGTGTATGCCATGCAGTAAAAATGATCAGAACCATGTCATCTGTCTTCATTCAATACAGAAACGCATGTTTGCATTAAGTATTGAACAATGTAATATCACAATTTGGCAAGTGTAATTAAAAAAAAAACTTGAGGTTGAAATATTATTTTTTGTAACATCAATATTTAGAGGCAAAATCTTAGACCACAAGCTTAAAGCATATACAGAAAAAAATGGAGACAACCCTTCTGACTTCACGCTTCACTATACATACATCATATTCATATTCATATAGTGAAAAAGAAAATATAGGCTAAATGCATTAGTATTTTGATAGAAAGTATCTCCAAAATGATACAGCAATCAAAACAAACTTTGTTACAAAATTTATGAGGAGTAAATTATCCCCTTTCATTCTTGAGATGCCAAACGTAGCAAAATTTCTGAGAGCTTCCACAAACATTACATCTGGAGTCCATTTATTTCAAAGACCAAAAAAAGTTGTACACATCCTTTCCTACCAATTTAAAGAATCTCACCCCTTCTTTGGAGCTCCATAAATGAAAAGGGTTTGGTTGCTCCTAGATAACTGTGCAAAGAATATACTTTTTCAGGCTAATATAAAATGGAATGACCAGATAACAGGCTCTTGGAATCAAGGCTTTAAGAATGATGTTGAGAGTATGAAATTAGATCTGCTCAGATTACTTACAACCAACAAGAACTTTTGGATCTCCACCAAGAGGAAAAAATTCCAATCCAGCAGCCAACACAAACTCCTTGAAATTAGAGTGAGTCGCTAGTCGCACCCTATGACCAAATTCCTGCAAGAAATATCCATTTCTAATATCTCATATTGCTGAAAAACTATGGTTTTGAATTGTGCAACCACGAATGACATATGGTTAATCTGCATGCATTTAACACAATGAACCATCCTTGAGATTCAATGAATTTACATCAACATTTGACAAAATCTGTAGCAACAAAGAGATTACAGATATGCAAGTACTAGTTTTCCAATTCATGCTTGGAATTGAAATGCCATCTTGAAGCATCCAACATTGATTATGCTATAATGGCTCTTGGAAAAAATGACAAAGTGCTACAGTACATTTCTTTAAATATACTTTATAGAAGATGCAAACCCAATGACAACAATGGTCAAAAAATAAATGTGTGAGTTGGACTACACCAACAACCCGTATTATGCCCAAAACTTTGCTCTATCTTGTTGGAGATAAGATTATATTGTCAAAGACATCAGAATATATAGAAGATATTAGAATATATGGAGATTCCATGGTTTGTGCTTATTATGATTTTTTGTATCTTTGATTTATTTCAATTCCTAAACTAAAGGGATTTGATTGTATCTCCTACTCCATATATATGGTGCATCATGTAAACAAGAGTATAAAGTTAAGTGAATGAAAGATGTAGCCCCCTAGGGCTTTGTGTGTGTGGATGTAGGCCAATATTGGCCGAACCACATTAAACTTTTGTGTTGTTTCTTTTCTCTTTCCTTTCTCTATTTTCTCTCCATATTCAACCTTATTGCCTTAATTACAAAATTCAACTTATCTAACCCTAGTAAACCACAACAGATTTCGAAGATGGAGTACTTATAATACTCTTAGAAATATGTTGATAATACCTTGTTTAACTTCTCTATACTATCTGCTAGAGACTATGCCACGCTGAGCTTACAGCATTGCCGATGGGTCTTGGAAAAGGCCATGTAAGAAGATGGAAAAACATTGATTCAGAAAGAGACACTTGGGTTTCATCTGGGTCGAGTGGAAAAGAAGTCCATAGGCTTCTGGAAGTAGTTGCATAGGGTTTGTGAGAAAGTATGAACATTGATAAGTGATAGTTTCTTCCATTTATTATATCTACGGGTTTGCTAATGAATATTATGACTTCCAGTCTTCCAGAGTGTGTGCTGCCACATCTATAGAAGAGCCATTTATCTTCTTTAATCTTGAGATGGTCAGGTCATCATTTCAATTTTCTATCTCTTCTAAAGAGGACTCCAAGTCCTTCCCCACGTTTCTCTTTAAATGGCTCAATGAATTTCTGTTTTCCATTTTTTTCTTCTTCAAAAAGAGGTGTTTCCAAATCCATGTGTGTATGAACAATCCCAAATATCAATGAAGCAAAAAATCAAGAAACAACAGGAATGAAGATAGCCTTTTAAATACAGTGATGTGATCATCTTCCATCACATAAACAACCTATACTGATTCTCAAAGTGAAACATTCTAAAGAAATAAATAGAAAAATAAAATATATACATATATGAACATATATAACCATGCTTCTCCAAACAGTAAAACATGTTTAACCTGTAAACGTTTGCCAATGGCAACAAATGGCTGTACATCCCCCCGTGTTCCAACAATAAGCATAACAATTTGCAGTGGAGGTAGATCTGGAATGACTATTGCATCAACAGGTTCATCACCAGTAGTTCCATTATAAACGACTCCAGTTCCAAAATCAATGCTTTTGGGTTTAATATCTCCTGGAACTTCAAACTGCACAGTTCCATCATTTTTAACTGTAGCAAGTCGATTCACCCACTTGAGCTGCATGTTTAATGGCTAATTATAAATCTGAGACAACTGATTAAAAGAAAACATGAACTAATAGACTATAAATTTCTATAAGATATTAGGTCAACTCACAAAAATGATCAAAACAACCAAAGTAAAATTACCACCAACACGCAAACTCCCTGAAAATAAAAACATGAAAACAGTTGAATTGGAAAGTACAAAAAATTAGGGACACAATTAGATGAGAAAGAGGAAAAAAAAAAAAAGAAGAGAAGTGAAGAAAATTAGACAAATAGGTTTTGGGTGTATAACAAACCCTCCATCTTAGCAGATATTTATATTAAAATTAAAACAATAGAATATGACAATACGAAAAAAGTACCCTCAACATAACATAATCAAAATATAACATAAAATACTCTATTATTTGAACACTCCCCCTCAACCTCGAGCATACAGATCAAAAATACCCAGCTTCGGAAACAAACGTTGAAAAGATGACCAAGTTAACGGTTTTGTGAGAATATCACCTAACTAATCATCAAAACAAACAGAAGCCGTCACAAGCTATTTCCGTAATAATAAAACCCGAAAAAATGACAATTAATCTCAATATGTTTGGTTAGCTCATTAAAAACAAGATTATTAGCAATAAAAATAGTAGCTTGATAGTCACAACACATGCACAAGGAGTTGGAACATCAATACCAAACTATGTAGAAGAGAGTGAACCAATAACATCTTAGAAACAATATAAGCCATAGCTCTATTACAGACAATTTTGTGCGTCTTGGAAGTGTGGCTCTCTCTCTCTCTCTCTCATGAGCCAGAAGTACACCCCAAGGAACCTCTAAGGACACTCGCCTGACGTTGATTCAATGATTCTTATTGCCTCAAAATGGCGAAACAAAATACCTGCTCAGAAGTGGCTCTAATTAGCCTACCCCTCATTCGCCATCCATCCCTAACTTACATTCCTCTATGTTTTGAGGGGGGACTAGTGTCCCTCCTTAAGGTTATCCCTCTACTAAAAGTCGTAGGAAGATAGGCGGGTAATTTTTTCTATTACGTGGAGGTCATACTTGGCCTGGGCCCTCAGCACTAAAACAAGAAGACAACATTCTATTTTTTATTGTGCCAAGTAACAAAGTTACCTCTGACAAAGGTACAATAGCCAGAAATAGAACATCAATTAGTAGGAACTTCCAGACCATTCATTGTCTACTCTAGTGGGAGGCAGTGAACGGACAGACTGGTTTCCTCTTATATGTCTCTTTTCCTTTCTATTTCGAGTAGATTTTATGATCACTAAATCTAGTCACAGACAAGGAAGTCGAAGGTTGATACAGCAATCCCAACCAGGTGCATTCTTATGGTAAAGCAAGATACAACAAACAGCTTCAAAATGAGGACAACAAGGAGTGTACATATATTGGATGACCACACAAACAACATAAGTAATGTCTGAACGAGTGACAGTGAGATAAATCAACTTCCTAACCAAATAGCAGTAATGACCTACATCAGAAAATAATTCCCCCTGATCACCCGTCAAGATTAATAATTGAATCCACGAGACCGAGCATCCAAGAGACCATTCTCACAAAGGAAATCAAGCACATATTTCCTTTAAGATAAAGAGATGCCCTGTGAAAAACGAGCAACCTCAATGCACTTTTTATATCAAGCTGGTATAAGGGGCAAGAATGAATAATACAACAAAAAATAGAATCCAAACAGAGTTAAGACCGTCCACAAAGGAGAATGTATCCAAATAATCAACACCATATGTCTATGTACTCTTAGCAAGCAGTCGTGCCTTAAGAGGCTTAACAAAACCATCGAGAAAATACTTAATAGTATAACCCCAACAACATCCCATGATTTGTTTGCCATGAGGAAGAGAACCCAAGTCTGATTCTTGAGAAAGGCACTCATTACCTCATCCATAGCATGTTCCCATCCAAGCACAGAAATTTATTGCTTATAAAATGAGGTAATAGAAATAAAGAACAAGTTTTGAACAAAGGAATGTAAGCAAAGTGAAGCACGAGTATAAGGGAAAAAATGGGCGATAGGACGTTGAGTGAAAGTACATTTATCTCGCCACAAAGCAAGAGGAAAATCAGCAAAATCCGAAATGGTAGAGGAAGGAGCAAAACCTCTTATAGAGATGGTACATCCAGACCATAAGAAACGACACGCCAATCTTGAGAGTGCTGATAAACCTGCAAAGGAGGTGGAGACAAAGCCAAAGATAGCACAAGAGTGGAAGAGAAATACCGGAGTGATGCAAAATGCACCAGAATAGTGGGAGAGGGGAAAAGAAGGCTCCTCATGACAAAAAATGAGATCAGAAAACGATTGTTGCCCGGGTGAAGAAAAAAAGGATGTGGACTCAAAAAAGGTAACATCAACACTGACAAGGTATCAATAAGCCTCGAGAAGATTAATCGAAAACCTAGCTGTGTACACAAGTACCCTAAAAAGAAACACTTGCAAGCCCAGGGAGAAAACTCATTCTGACCACAAGCAAGGATATGGAAAAAAGCCACACAACTGAAAATATGTGGGAGTGGAAATGGAGAATGGTCAAGATATAAAGAGAAAAAATAGATTATTCAAAACAATCGATGGCATACGATTAATCAAATAACAGGCAATGAGCACAACATAATATCACCCCTGAAATGTTTGGATACCTCACTACATCCTTATCTGAAATCCTTGACCAAAAAAATAAATAAAATAAAATGCTTGAACTCTCTTTCTACTTTAATTCCCCAACCCCCCCCCCCCCCGGGGGGTAAAAATCACAACCACAAACTCAATATAGGAGTATTTCATAATTTTTTATTTTAAAAAAGAAAAACAAGATTAAAAAATAAAAAATAAAAAGAACAATTTTAAACATGCTCAAGTAACCAGAAATTCAAGCTAATCAAAACAAGCACAATGCTGTTGGATGGCAGATTATGGCAAAGCAGGATGTATCTTTACTCAGATGAAGCACATATAATTGATTCAATATTCACAAACTTACAAACCTATAAAATGTAAGACCTCTCATTTGCCATCCATCCCTAACTTACATTCCTCTATGTTTTGAGGGGGGACTAGTGTCCCTCCTTAAGGTCATCCCTCTACTAAAAGTCGCAGGAAGATAGGCGGGTAATTTTTTCTATTACGCGGAGGTCATACTTGGCCTTGGCCCTCAGCACTAAAACAAGAAGACAACATTCTATTTTTTATTGTGCCAAGTAACAAAGTTACCTCTGACAAAGGTACAATAGCTAGAAATAGAACATCAATTAGTAGGAACTTCCAGACCATTCATTGTCTACTCTAGTGGGAGGGAGTGAACAGACCGACCGCTTTCCTCTTATATGTCTCTTTTCCTTTCTATTTCGAGTAGATTTTATGATCACTAAATCTAGTCACAGACAAGGAAGTCGAAGGTTGATGCAGCAATCCCAACCAGGTGCATTCTTATGGTAAAGCAAGATACAACAAACAGCTTCAAAATGAGGACAACAAGGAGTGTACATATATTGGATGACCACACAAACAACATAAGTAATGTCTGAACGAGTGACAATGAGATAAATCAACTTCCTAACCAAATAGCAGTAATGACCTACATCAGAAAATAATTCCCCCTGATCACCCGTCAAGATTAATAATTGAATCCACGAGACCGAGCATCCAAGAGACCATTCTCACAAAGGAGATCAAGCACATATTTCCTTTAAGATAAAGAGATGCCCTGTGAAAAACGAGCAACCTCAATGCACTTTTTATATCAAGCTGGTATAAGGACCAAGAATGAATAATACAACAAAAAATAGAATCCAAACAGAGTTAAGACCGTCCACAAAGGAGAATGTATCCAAATAATCAACACCATATGTCTATGTACTCTTAGCAAGCAGTCGTGCCTTAAGAGGCTTAACAAAACCATCAAGAAAATACTTAATAGTATAACCCCAACAACATCCAATGATTTGTTTGCCATGAGGAAGAGGACCCAAGTCTGATTCTTGAGAAAGGCACTCATTACCTCATCCATAGCATGTTCCCATCCAAGCACAAAAATTTACTGCTTATAAAATGAGGTAATAGAAATAAAGAACAAGTTTTGAACAAAGCAAAGTGAAGCACGAGTATAAGGGAAAAAATGGGCGATAGGATGTTGAGTGAAAGTACATTTATCTAGCCGCAAAGCAAGAGGAAAATCAGCAAAATCCGAAATGGTAGAGGAAGGAGCAAAACCTCTAATAGAGATGGTACATCCAGACCATAAGAAACGACACGCCGATCTTGAGAGTGCTGATAAACCTGCAAAGGAGGTGGAGACAGCGCCAAAGATAGCACAAGAGTGGAAGAGAAATACCGGAGTGATGCAAAATGCACCAAAATAGTGGGAGAGGGGAAAAGAAGGCTCCTCATGACAAAAAATGAGATCAGAAAACGATTGTTGCCCAGGTGAAGAAAAAAAGGATGTGGACTCAAAAAAGGTAACATCAACACTGACAAGGTAACAATAAGACTCGAGAAGATTAATCGAAAACCTATCTGTGTACACGAGTACCTTAAAAAAAACACTTGCAAGCCCAGGGAGAAAACTCATTCTGACCACAAGCAAGGATATGGAAAAAAGCCACACAACTGAAAATATGAGGAAGTGGAAATGGAGAATGGTCAAGATATAAAGAGAAAAAATAGATTATTCAAAACAATTGATGGCATACGATTAATCAAATAACAGGCAATGAGCACAACATAATATCACCCCTGAAATGTTTGGATACCTCACTACATCCTTACCAAAAAAATAAATAAAATAAAATGCTTGAACTCTCTTTCTACTTTAATTTTTAAACCCCCCCCCCCGCCGGGGGGTAAAAATCACAACCACAAACTCGATATAGGAGCATTTCATAATTTTTTATTTTAAAAAAGAAAAACAAGATAAAAAAATAAAAAATAAAAAGAACAATTTTAAACATGCTCAAGTAACCAGAAATTCAAGCTAATCAAAACAAGCACAATGCTGTTGGATGGCAGATTATGGCAAAGCAGGATGTATCTTTACTCAGATGAAGCACATATAATTGATTCAATATTCAGAGACTTACAAGCCTATAAAATGTAAGTAAAAGAATGTTAGTAGCAAATTTTGTAGGCTTAAAGGATCTAAAATTGAAGAAAAATTACATATTATTGCAGATTGCAAGCTCCAATATAAAATAAAATTGCACTTAAAGTTTTTTTACTTCATATTGTCAATGCTTATTACTTAAAAATATGTTGATGCACATGCACAAGCACACGCACATAGCCCATAATTGTTTATCTCAAAACAGTAGCCAGTTAACTACTTTCCAATTTGTAATGCCAAAACTAGTCATCCTACAATAGTGGTATGTATAATAGACCCAAAAACAAACCCTAGTATGGGTGGCTTCTAGCAAATCTTCAATCATAGATATTTCCATGTCTATCAAACAACAAGGGGCTGGGTCAACTATTCAATCAAATGATATTGATCATGTTTCCCATCTCTTCTCAAGAAACAAGTGGGCTATTTCTTTACAAAATTGTGCTAAATTTCATATGTGGCACATACGTATATGACAATTATACACAAAGGAAGAACAAAACACTACAACCATACAAGTTTGTCATACTCCCACAACTGACATTGAAATGTTCACCTTACACATTGCAATCAGATCATCAAGTGTTTCATTGATCAGCTTGAGTGCAGCAGTGACCCTTTTTTGCTGTGGTGATATGTCTTTGAATATGGGAATATCCCAGTATGGAAGTGGTGCAACACTTCGATCTTCTGCTTCTCGCAAGACAGTGTATACAGCCTGGCCAAACCAAAATATAAAACATAAATGCATGGTTTGTTAGCTTTAAGTGAAAAAACATTAGCTGAACATCAGAAAATAACTGACACTTCAAAAACAAGAAGGAAGTTCAATGAAATAAAGAGAATATAGACGTAAAAGACAATACCTCAACTATCCCAGTATCATTTGTTAACGAATCAAAATCATAATTAAATAATGCTTTTCCGATAATATCCAATGTCAAAGGAGAGAAAAGTGATTCCATCTCTACGTCTTCCCCGTTGGATGCGGCAGCATCAAGATTTTGGCACAGTCTATCTGTAGCTTTTCCAAATAAGCTAATCATTGCTGCAACACACTAGAATTGGAAATTGCAAAAGGACAAGAACAGTACAAAATGACAAGATTTTATCTTTGGATAGAAGCTGGGGCAATAAAACAGGTAAAACTTAAGGAATTTATACCAAGAACAAAACAAAAGGGAACCACAGCAAACCTATGAAGCCATCGTGATACCTTTTGATGCAATGCTGGGACTATAGCACGTCGTCTAACACGCCATATCTCCCCAGCAGCTGGGAGAAGACCCTTTCCCATCACAAATTCTAAAATTTCTGCCAGAATACCCTGAAGACCGAGGAGATAGAAAGACAATTCAAAAATTGACAGCAGAGTCCTGATTGTTAAATACATAAAGATTTGGCAACCCTGTTGCTTTACCTTTGAATAAACCTTTGAGTTGTCCCTTAATATATGTTTCGTGATGGAAGGATCAGAAACAATCAAAAAGGACTGCAGCAAACGTTTAAAAATGACTAATCAAACACTTGTACCAGACAGACACTTTTGCTCCTAAAGTTTCATAAGATTTAATTATTCTCATTGCAAAATGGGAGAGGACACAAACAAATAAGAAGAATCACACCTTGGGCCCAAATGTCAACCTGAAGATTCCACCATAGGTGAGGAAAAGCTCATAAAGGGGAACAATGAAGGCCTCGCTCCGAATGGCACTAATTGCACCCTTTGCCTCAGGAATCTTAGGATAGTCTTTGGAAGCATCAATCCATTTAAATAGGAACTCAAGCATGCCACTAGAAATGCCCAGCTTTGACAAACTGCTCTTTATAAGAGATGGAAAACTTACTCCAAAGCAAAACACAAATGAAACGAGAAACTCAATAAGAAACGAAAAACCAAGTACATGCGTTTTCACAAAATATAAAAAATAAGAAAGGGCATTAGAAGATTTTTAAAAATAAAAAAAAAATAAAAAAAAAAATTGTACACACTTGAAAAAATAACGGGTATGTTTGGTTTGGCTTTGTAGAGTGATTTGGAAAATTTTTCTAAAAAACTTGTTTGGTTTGTAATTTTTCCAAACCAATTTTCAAAATTACTCTCTCTCTCTCTTATACATCAATCAATCACTTTTTCTCTCTCCTCTCTCCTTCTCAATCAGTTTTTCTCTCACACACATCTACTCAATTACAACAAACTATCAAATCATTCCAAACTCCCAAACTACTTTCAAAATACACAACCAAACAAACCAAAAATATTTCTAAACTCTCACCCCAAAACAGTTTTTAAAAACTACTCTCTCAAAACCAAACCAAACATACCCAACAATTTTAAAACACCCTGGTGATACTTTACATAGACAAACCAAAGAACAACAATGGCCTCCTTTAATTGTGCCATTTAACACCAAAATTTAACTATACCTGGATGATTCTTTTACTTCAATCAATGAAAGGCAAACCAATCATCCAGAGAAGCATGACCTGTTGGACAATTTTCAAAAATATTCAAGGTTTTCAAATGGGTTTTGTTGAAAGCGAATGAAAGGATGTTCATTTGTCCCACATTGGACACAAAGGAAACCAACTATTTTTTATTTTTATTTTTTTTGATAAATAAAGGAAACCAACTATGGGTATATAACTACAAGAAAAGGGGAAGAAAAAAAAAGAGTGGTATCTTAATAAATCAAATGTGTTTGATTCGGTACATTATGGTGCCACCTGTGCACATGCAACGGGGTGAGGGCATCGTGTGATTCAGGGAACTTTCAAACGCACTTTGCACATATGCATTGTCACTAGCAGTGTAGAAGCCTTTAGTTTTGGCTACGTAAACCGATCAGACGATTGAAACTTGATCAGAATGATAAAACCTGAACGATGTAATCTGGCCTGTTAGATCCGCTCGCAAAAGTTGGTAAGGGTCATGCCTTATTGCTTGCGATAGGGTGTGAAATCTGGATTGTAGAATTTGAACATTATAAATGGGATGCGATCCAATGGCTACTTAAGCATGACTCAACAAAAGCATCTGTTCATGAGCATTCATGAATTTGTCTAGAAATAGAGTTACGGAACTCTATTTTGAATATCAATTTTTTTGTGCTTTCTATCACCAAATTTCCCAACAGCTTGAGCTTTTAAAAAATGGGCCCAACAATGTATATCATGTTATCCAACACCCTCTCTCTCACGGGGAGCTCCATCTCGCACGTGGAGAGACAAAAGAAAGAAATAACCAAATAGTGAAGAAGAAACCAAATGGGGGACAAAATACCAAAAAGCCAACGGAGAGAACCCAAGATCTCTCTCAACATAAGCCTTTGACATCATGTAGGTCACCAATTTTCCCAAAAGCTTAAGCTATTAAGAAAAAGACCCAATAAAGTACACCAAGCTATCCACCACTTTCATCATATTCTTCTTTGTCAGTTGGCTTTATCAGTTTATACAACAAGAGAGTTCTAGGTTTGATCAGAGCATACATATTCTGAATCAAACTCCATCGATAAAGTTGCATTGCATAGTTTTCACAACTTGGTTGAGTACTCGTTGTTCAATCCCAAAGGGGGAAAATATTGCCTACAACACAGCGCCTTATACTTTCTAGTTCTTCCATTCTTCCTTCTTTATAATTTAAATTCCCACATGACCTGCTATAATTGTACACAAGCTAAGGCTAAATATATATATATATAGCTTCTTTAACTTTCAAGGTAACCATTGTCAACAATGTCAATTACATAGCAACGCAGGAAAAAGAAAAGTGCCATATTTCTCCCCTTTTTATTTAATTAATTAAAATATACTTTCACCTTGGATTCTCATATAGAAAAAAGAATAAACCCAGCACCAATATAATAGTCTGAAATGGGAATTTCCTAGACATCTCTCTATGCTAATTTAAGCATGAAAATAATAAGGGTCTTTTCTTTTTTCTTTTTTCTTTTTTCTTTTTTCCCCTTTCTTTCCTTTTATGCGGGTACAAGTTGTTTGGTGCAAACTCATGGAGTTGCTTATACCGCTACATCCACCGAATTTTGCTCCGCCCGAATTGAATATCTTACTGTAAGATATTCAATTCGGTTCGTACAGAGCAAAATTGGTGGATCAAACATTATTCTAATTTTTTTTGCCTTTTTTTTTTTTTTTTTTTGAAATCCGCATTAGAGTGTTCAGTGCAGCTTATGGAAAGCAAGGAAAAGGCAACATACCCAGATTGCTCCACGGTGAATTCTCCAGAAGCGATGCGAGCGGACAACTCAGCAGGGCGCTTCTCTTCGAGTATGCAGTCAACAGTCTTGACGGCTTTATCGATTGAATCGGAGGAGGAGGAGGTGGAGGAGGAGGAGGAGGGTTCACGCCCATTTGAAGAAGACGACGACGAGCATTTTATGACAGAGCATCGAGAAGTTCCTGCAACCAATTTCAATGTCATGCAGTGAAATTGACGATAATTGTTCAAAACAATTATAATAAAATTAATGTATACACACACACAAACACATATATGCAAAAAATCAAGAGAAAGACAAACCAAGGATGGGTTTGAATTCGAGCCTGCTGGTTTGGATAGATGAGGGGACTTGAAAGAGAGGAACAAAGGCAGCCATTTTGAGAGAGAGAGAGAGAGAGAGATTGATGATAATGGAGTGAGAAAGGGCTGTTAACAAATTATGCTATTTGGGGTTGCGTTGGTGAGAGAAAGGGTTGCGTCAAAAAGGGCTGTCAACAAATGCTAATATTTGGCGGTTACACTTCAAAACCGCCAAACTACAAAACTAGGAATCTTTTCTTTCCCACTCCATCCTCCTACTCTCTATACCCACCCCATCCTCCTACTCTCTATACTTTCTAGTTGACAGCATCTTCAATCCTTCATTACTTAACAACTGTCAATTATTTTATTATACAACAATACTACATACCTCCAAAATATATATATATATTCATAATTTTTACTCACCTATGATTAGTTTTTGCCCCATACCTTTTCCCCTTTCTCTATTGCTTTTTTCACTTGGCAAGTCATCTCATTGTTGACTAATTTCACCAATTCGGTGCTGTGCTAGCACATGATTGAGTTTGCTTTGTGGTGCCCTAGTCTTGCTATGATGCTCCTTACACTCACCTCCTTTGTTGATATATCCACCTATATATATAAGAAGCGCTTCACCCTTCATGGCTTGTATTTTTTTTTCTTCTGATTTTGTCTTTTTTCTTGGTTTTATTTATTAGTGGCTTACTTTAGTTTTCTCATTTGGTCCTTTTTTTTTAACTACTCATTTCGTCCTTCTTTTTTGCTTTTTTGCTTTTTTGTCTTATTAGAAATCCTTCAATGAATTTGCTTTGTTTTTTTGAAATTTATTTTGAAATTGTATATTTTAGTTTTGTTTTGCGATAAGTGGTGGTGGTACCAACCATGGTTCCTATAGAACCAAGGGACAATTACAAAAAAAAACTCCAGGGTTTGACCATTATAACACTATAAATCCTAAGTTTTTAATTTTATCATTTAAATCCTAAATTTTTAATTTGTTTTCAATCTAAACCATTACCTATTTTTGTTAACTAAAATCGACGAAAAAAATAGTATTTTAGCCATTAAACCTAATGTAAGTATACATAAAATGTTTAAAATATCCATTTTCATTGCGTTCAATTCGACTTTGCAAAGTCCCAATCCCAATCCCAGTCCAAGTCCAATCCAAGCTCTAACACAGTTACTCATAGCCCTGGAAAGAAAATAGGCAAAAACAACAAAAAGGCACAGGTAGTGGGATTGACTGTCAGCTCATTTGTTTTGGTTGTCGGGTTGTCTTTGCTTGGCATTGTCTTGTGGAAGAAAAGTAGTAGACCAAAACAAGAAGATGAGTTTGCTATTGAACTATCCATGGACAATGACTTTGAGGTAGGTACCGGGCCAAAGAAATTTTCATATGACGAATTGTTTTGTGCAAAAAATTATTTCACGGACGAACAAAAGCTTGGAGAGGGAGGATTTGGTGGGGTTTTTAAAGGTTTCTTGAGGGAATAGAATTCTTACATTACCGTGAAGAGGATATCAAAGGGATCAAAATAGGGAATAAAAGAGTATGCATCCGAAGTGAAAATCATTAGTCAGTTGAGGCATAGAAATTTGGTGCAATTACTTGGTTGGTGTCATGACAAAAGAGAACTTCTACTTGTTTATAAGTTCATGGAAAATGGAAGCTTAGATTACCATCTCTTCAAAGAAAAAAGCTTGTTGACGTGGGCAATGAGGTACAAAATTGCTCAAGGCTTAGCTTCGGCATTGCTTTATTTTCATAAAGAATAGGAACAATATGTGGTGCATAGGGATGTAAAATCAAGCAATGTGATGTTGGATTCAAATTTCAATGCTAAACTTGGGGATTTTGGATTAGCTAGGCTTGTCGATCACGAAAAAAAAACTCTCAAACAACTATTTTAGCAGGGACCAGGGGTTATATGGCACCAGAATGCTTAATTACAGACAAAGCAAATATGGAATCAGATGTTTACAGTTTTGGAGTTTTAGCATTGGAGATAGCTTGTGGTAGAAAACCTATCGATTTGGAGATTCCAGAAAGTCAGATGAGAATGGTGGAGTGGGTTTGGGACCTCTATGGTATCGATAGGCTTCTAGAATCGATAGTAGATCCAAAGATACGCCCAAATTTTGTTAAGAAAGAAATGAAATGCTTGATGATTGTTGGGCTCTAGTGTGCTCACCCTGATCTGAATCTTCAACCTTCAATTAGGCAAGCAATTCATGTGCTTAATTTTGAAGATACATTGCCCATTCTCCCTGCAAAAATGCATGTGCCAACATACCTTGCTCCTCTAGTGAATGTTTCATCCTTGGTTTCTTTAACCTATGGCTTCACTACTGCTTCTAATAGCAACCAAGTCCAGTCTTCAAGCTATAGTTACAACACAAATTCCTCAAAGTTCAGCTCATCATCTGCATCTTCTTCTTCATCTACATCACTTTTGTACACATGAATGAGGGTTCGTTTGGGATGTGAGTGACTTTTTGGCTTTTTGGTTTTTTTAGCCTAGGGCTAAAAAGCCTCGTTTGGGATAGGTTTTTTGATTTTTTTGATTTTTGTGAGAGAAAAAATGAAATGATTATGGTTTAGATGTAACATTTTGTCTTATTAGGCTAAAAAACTAATTTTGTCTTTTGTGGCTATTTTAGCCAAAACGCCCCCATTTAGCTTATGCCAAACAATGGCTAAGTTGTTGTTGTTGTTGTTGTTTTTTATTTTTTTGCCTGGGTATACATGAATAAGTTAAGTTGATTAGTAAGTGCGATGGTGATCAAATTAGGATACCATATATAAGTCCTCGTTTGGCATAAGCTAAATGGGGGCGTTTTGGCTAAAATAGCCACAAAAGACAAAATTAGTTTTTTAGCCTAATAAGACAAAATGTTACATCTAAACCATAATCATTTCATTTTTTCTCTCACAAAAATCAAAAAAATCAAAAAACCTATCCCAAACGAGGCTTTTTAGCCCTAGGCTAAAAAAACCAAAAAGCCAAAAAGTCACTCACATCCCAAACGAACCCTCATTCATGTGTACAAAAGTGATGTAGATGAAGAAGAAGATGCAGATGATGAGCTGAACTTTGAGGAATTTGTGTTGTAACTATAGCTTGAAGACTGGACTTGGTTGCTATTAGAAGCAGTAGTGAAGCCACAGGTTAAAGAAACCAAGGATGAAGCATTCACTAGAGGAGCAAGGTATGTTGGCACATGCATTTTTGCAGGGAGAATGGGCAATGTATCTTCAAAATTAAGCACATGAATTGCTTGCCTAATTGAAGGTTGAAGATTCAGATCAGGGTGAGCACACTAGAGCCCAACAATCATCAAGCATTTCATTTCTTTCTTAACAAAATTTGGGCGTATCTTTGGATCTACTATCGATTCTAGAAGCCTATCGATACCATAGAGGTCCCAAACCCACTCCACCATTCTCATCTGACTTTCTGGAATCTCCAAATCGATAGGTTTTCTACCACAAGCTATCTCCAATGCTACAACTCCAAAACTGTAAACATCTGATTCCTTTCCTCGCTCGATCTAAGAAACCCTGCTCGAGCGACGGACCAAAACAAAGAGCTCACTCGAGCGAATAACTTCTCGCTCGAGCGAAGGGTCAAAATTCTGGGCAGCAACCCTTTGCTCCCAAGCTCAACCAACCTGCTATAACCTGCCCATTGCAACTCCCAACTCAGAAATAGGAAATTAAAAAGGACGGTAACGATCATAATACAATGGCAGGAGCTATCGAACCTAAGTCCGGATACAATAATCAAATGGGAAAAGACCGGGTCACTATACATTGTATCTATTCTATTAAATATCTTTTTAATATGGATTATATTAGCATGCATCTCATAAATGCTTTTAATTGATAAATTGTTGAATTAATTGTTTATAACATTCATGTTGTGTTCCACATTAAGTAAAATGTTTATCACATTGAGTATGTAGATTGAATTGATGAAAATACCTATGATAATGTCATGTGATTAAATGAGATTGTTGCATCATTTCTTAATAAAACAAAGAGCATAACACTATTTTCTTATGCATATTATGCTATGTGCTACAACTAGGAAATTCTGAAAAATAGCATTCCAAACTCTTATTTGATAATTGAATTATTTTTCACCTTTTGAGTTTGTGATAAGAAGTGATTTGTGTTGTATTTTATTTGAGTAATAGTGATTGTTCTATGAATGCCATATTAACACAAAATCATATTAGAAAAGGTAACACCAACTTAGGGGGAGAAATCATTTTGCTAAAATACTTGTTAATCCTTTTGAGATGAACTCCTCATGAAAGAAAATTGAAGATTGAAAAGCTTCTAACTCATGAACCAAAGGTATGCCTCCTACACTCTCTTAAGC